TTTTGCTCGGGACAGAGGCAGCACCCCCATGGTCCTCTGGCTGCATGATGTTTGTGGAAGAGGAGATGGATCTCCAGGGAATTACGACATCCCAGTTCGGGATAATCGGCAGAAGCCACCTATCGATGCCTACCAGAAAGTGTGAGCTCAGGGTAAAATGTCATGGAGAACTGGGCCAACTTTCTTATTTCATCACTGATGTGAGGCATTACATGGGGATAATGGGGCTCTCTTCCCATTGGAGGGAGTTAAGATTCATGCTCTGGGGGTGAACCTAAATGTACGATGCCAGAGTCCCCGAACTCTAGATTTCTTGGAAGCCTTCAAGGGCCAGTTCCAGCAGAGATGAAAGCCAAGGGACAGCTCAGGAAGTTGTACCAGGCCCCCCGGCTAGTTTCAGAATACACGCTCAAGTTTAAAGCCATTACTGGGAAGATTCAAGATTGGTCAGAAGTGACTAAACTGGAGTATTTTCGAATGGGCTTGTGTGCTGATTTGCTAGAATGTGCGTTGCATAGAGATAATCCAGAGACTTTGAAAGAATGGATCGTCCTCGCTGGAAGAGTGGCGTGCAACCAGGCGCAAGTAATGAGATCCAGAGAAGGCAGTTGAGGAAGAGCACCAGTGGCAGCATCAGGGGATGGGGTAGGTCCAATGTGAGGCCAGCCGAGCAGCAAAAAGAAAAAGGGAATGTTGAAAGGGGACTGCCTCCTCCATGGAAGACCCCCTCCCCCAAGATGGTAAAGGAAAAAGCCATGACGGAGACAGCCTGGGCACCAGGGCAAATGCCAGCTGAATGAGGAGGAGGAACCTCGATGGCTGCCGGGAAACAACAATAATCTGCTGTAGGCACTTGCCGGCAGATTCAACACTCTCACAGAGCAAGCACGCTGGTGAGTCTAGATTGTAAAACTATTCAACTAATGGTGGAATTACAAAACCCAGAGACAGGGCTAAGGATAACAACAGAGGGTCTATTGGACTGTGGTTGTGCAAGATGTTTGATTACCCTAGCCCTGCCAGAACAATTGGGAGTTAGACCCCAGCCTGTGAAGACACCAGTGGTTTTTGCATGACTGGATGAATCCATAGCAAATGAAGCCCCAGTAGCAGAAAATACTAATTTTTTGAAAATCACGCTGGGAACCCATCAGAAGACTACAATTATTAATCTCACCCATGGCCCACCAGTCTGTCATCCTAGGAATTCTATAGCTAAGGTGGCAAAAACCTCTAATTGCCTGGAAAACTGACACTTTTACTTTCCCTGATGGGAGTTATAGTTCAAGAGGGCCCCACCAAATAAAAAACGTGGACAAAAGGACTGAGGTGGGAGCAGGAGCACCTGAAGGAGTGCCCTTGGAACAGATCCCAACTGCCTATCATGATTTTGCTGAGTGCAACCAACTATCACCCCAAAGAAAAACAGACTGTACTATAGAAATAGAACCTAATGCCAAGCTTCCAAGCCCTAAGCTATATGCAATGTCTGAGTCAGAGAGAAGGGCGCTAAGAGAAATTATTGATAAAAAATTGGCCTGGGAGTTTATTGAACCAGCTAATTCCCCCATGGCGGGCCCTGTTTTGTTCTGCCCCAAACCCGATGGGCCACTAAGCTTGTGCACAGATTATCGTGGCCTGAACGCAATCTGCACTTCCAATAAATATCCTCTCCCGTTGATTAAGGACATATTGGCTCATTTGGGCAAAGATAAATTGTTCACTTAATTGGACTGCTGGGAGGACTACTATCAAAACTGTGTAAAAAAGGGAGATGAGTGAAAAACAACTTTCAATTGCCCCTTGGGGTTTTCTGTAAAGTTAGGCCTTTCAGCCTCAAGAGTGTGCTACATGTTTTCATGCAATTTGTCAATAAATTCTTTCATCCGTGACTATATAAGGGTGTCTTGATTTATCTGGATAATTTCCTTATTTTTTCTGAATCTGTGGAAGAACATGTCCAATTAACAAGACAAGTACTGGAAAAACTGAGGGAACATCAGCTTTATGCTAAGCTGTCAATATGCAAATTCCAGAAGACAGAGTTAGACTTCTTGGCCTTCCACATGTCCCCTAAGGGTTTGAGTATGGACCCGGCCAAAGTTCAGGATGTGTTAGACTGGGAACCACCACGAATCTGAAAACAACTCCAGGGATTCTTAGGTTTCAACAACTTTTATAAACAATTCATCCACAATTTTGTGGAAATAGCCCTTCCTTTGACAAACTTGTTAAAGACAAAGTGGGAGAAACCAAAACACTGGGGGCATGGCTAGAGTGGAAGCCCAAATATCAAAAAGCCTTTGAACAGTTAAAAGCCCTGTTCACAATGCAGCTCATCCTAGCTCACGCTGAAGTGGACAAGCCTTTTGTGGTTCACTGTGATGCCTGAGATGGCATATGGGGTGTTCTTTTACAGGTCAATGAAGGGGGAAAGTTGAGACCCTAAGGTTTGGATTGATCATAAAAACCTTCAAGTGTTGCAAACCCCCAGAAGCTGAATGCTAAATACAGGGT